TGCGTTCGCGTTCGCTTCTACAGGACTGGAGCCTGTTGCAATTGTAGCGCGTTGACGCGCGTCATCGAGAAGTCTGAACGCTGCCGCATGGGCAGCAGCAAAGTAAACCGTGGTGTTGCCACGCATGTCCTTAAAACCATCACCTATCAAGAGTTTTTTGAATATGAAAATAACTCACGTTTGCATGTTGTAAACAATCCGAAGCAAATGTTTCTCGTTAGTTCGAGGTGACGTAGTTCGACTTGGACGGAAACATATCTAAAAAAGCCACAATTCTCGTAACAACTACAGTAACAACCGCGCTGATTTTATAAAAAAAAACACCAACCAGCAGCAGAGCATTGACGTTATTCGCATCGAACACCGTTCCAAACTGATAACGACGAGCACTAGCGTTTGCTTGATCTCTTGCTAGACAAACCAGTTGAATAGATACATTCCAGTAAGTTGAAGGCGAAGGGTCCTAGACGCAACTCCCATTTTTTTATATCCTTTAGACGACTGTTCCTTATTTCAAATCATGTAAAACAGAAAAAGGAAAATTATTTGACAATATGGCGCAGTTCGGCGACGGGGGGGGGGAGGCATTTTGCACTTTTGCCACTTCTCATCGACGTGTCGAGCCATCGAGAGAGCCTCACGAGAGTTGACAGGTTTTATCATGGTGGCTGACGAGCTTGCTCCAGCTACACAAGAGTTCACAGGTTTCACCAGGTGAGACTTGTTAAACGGAACTAGTGAAACTGCGAAAGTGCAAAATGTCCACCCCCCCCCCCCCGTCGTCGAACAGCGCCGATAGTATTTAGCTTTCGAATTCTGAAACTCGATATTCACCCACCATTTGAGCATTCATCACATGAGCGATTCCAGATACCGCACCATTAGCCAACCATGCGACAAAGATTTATAAAGGAGAACACCGCAAGTTCGTTGTTCAAGCGGCAAACCACAAGCTCAAGTAGCGCTCCAACGTTGCAATGTCGTTCAACGGCGGCGCGTTTTTGCCTGAAATGAGTCCTATGACGATCTGTTCAGAGTTAAAGACAGCGCCCGCGATGGACTTTGGCAGGTTTCAGGGGTCACATTTGCTAGAACAGGTGGCCAATGAAGCACTAATCAAAAAAAGCAGGAAAAGGTGTGGAAGAGCGTGAAATAAGACCCTATGAAATTTAAGGCATGTGGACGAGTTTCGCAAACTTCTGGTGAGTTCTCCAATACACGTCGCCGCCTCGGAACTCTAGAAATTCAGCGTATATCAATGCCAGCAAGCATTGATAACTGTCAACCAGTCGGGGCGGGATTAACAGGACAGGAGGCGTCAGCCCGGCTCTGTTGACTCCGCCCTCGTCAACCAATCGATTTCGAGCCGCAAGAGTGGGATTTCTGCTGTGATTGCGGACTCCGCGTTCGTTTTCAATGGAGGGTTTTTTCACTTTGGTTGATCGCGGACGCTGCCTTTAAATTCACTATGGCAATAACTCACTGTACTCCACATTCACTTCAAAAGTCAATGTGTGCGCGGTCAAATTGGAAGTTGACGAGACAGACCGTCAATTTGTTGTGGCGGCTTAAGGTGCCGACGCATCCGTCGTGGTTTGAGGTGGGAACCGCCACGGGGACCGAGATGCGGACCTGTAGAAGGAAGAACTAAGCTGCTTTGAGTAAACACTAATAAACATCTGAAGGGCAGTGAGAACGATTGATGGAGGGTAGGTTGTTGCTAATGTCATTGGTGGAAGGGCTATGGAATTGGCCTCCCCTCCAACAATGACGTTGGCGACAACCGCCCACCCCTAGCGATCGTGCCCAAACCCTTCAATTATTGAAATAATCTCAACACTCACGAAATCCAAGCCACATCTCATTTCGCTGAATGGAAAACGACCAGCAGATTGATTGCGCATGTGAGCCTCGAATGCCAAAGTCAACCTCCTGATGAAACAAAGCGCTGACAAATAGTCATCGAGCGGAGCACGCATCAGATTCGTGCCAGCTGTAATAGAAAAAAAACATTTTTTCAGGAGGATTTCAAAATTTTTAGAGGTACTTACGGATTTTGACGTAGACAAAGGCACGGCGCAGGGTGTCATGGTCGATCACCACTGGTGCTGAAGAGGTCTCCAATTCAGCCGTACCCACCTAACATAGCCGGTGACACAACAGCTGCGTCCGAATTTGGTGGCACCGACAGTGATGCCGATAGGGACAGTCCAGCTGGTGAGGCGTCCACTATCTGAAGAATGAACGAAATTATAAGAAGTTATGACTGGGCCATCCAGGGTAAGCGATTGAGAGCAAACCTACATTGGGTGGTAGAGAAGCAGGTTGAATCGGCGAGTTCGAATGAAGAAATCGTGATTCATTTTCTTTACACGGACTTTGGACGTGCACTAAAAACGCGAACGATTCGACGTTCATAATGAACTAATTTACACTAAACCAAATCATCATTCGCATATTCAGGCGCGTTCGGCTGAGAGGGCGGGGGCGGGGGCATCTGTACTGCTTGCGCTAGTTCTTTTTTGCTAGTCCCCTGCTTGGAACTTGCACATTTCAACTTGGTAAAACTTGTGGACTACTGTGTAAACAAAGCTCATGCTTCACAGGATGTTACAAGTCTCCACAGCGGCACTGACAGCGATGGATGGGAACCAAAAGAATGCTCCACCAACCCAAACTGTGCCGTTTCCAATACTAAGTAAAATTTATTGTGATTTCTGTTTCGTCGATATCAGCGAGAATTTTAGTGAAAGCCAGTACGCAATGAGGATTGAAGTAAAGCTCGAAAAATAAAGGGGGGGGAAGGAATTCCTATCTAGCCCTTTTAATTACTGAGCCTAACCTGCACAAAAAGCAGACAAATATACCACAAGAAAAAGGTTTCATCCTTTTACAAGCCCAGACCTCCCTGTTTGTCTGAAAACACTTCCCAGAGCCCAGAAACCGAACCCCTTTTCCACTTTAGAACAGGGCGCGTCATAAGACGACACACTATCGCTGTAAAATCCACATTTTGGGCTATATTCGATCTGGCGAAAACTATTCGGTTTTCCCTTTCACGGCAGCTATCGATAGGCCTCGCGATGGCTAAAAGGCGATTTGACCCTCACAATGACTTGTAAAAGAATACTTCGTTCACGTTACTCCCCCTCTCTTGTGAAAAAATTGTGTAAATTTGTATTAATGACTTTCCCGGAGATACATTTGACTAGAAAATCGTTTCATAAGGCAGTTTGACCCTGCGAATAAGTTGTTGCGACTGTCTGGCGTGAAAACGGTTGGAACCTGCGCAATAGGCGCCATCAAAACTAGTCAAATCGCTAAATTGGCTAAGAACCGAGGGGCAGTCTGACCCTTCATAGGTCCGGATGAAGTTCCAAGCGCCTGTAAGACGCACATAAGGGGGCAAATCCCTTATCTGGATCTTACAGCTGAGAAAACTATACTCTGACAAATGAAATTCCTTCCGAAAGCGATTCTTTAACAAAATCAGAATTCCAGCCAGGCTATGTTGCAGGCCGAGGATTTCCAGGGGGTGAACATATTTCTTCGCTTCGTCGCTGGAGGGAGAGGAGCGTTTCATACTTGCCCTTGAGAAAAATTTTTTGCTGACATTTCTAGATTTTTTTTAATTGAGCTGTGCAACCATTCGTCCCCCTCCCCCTTTTGCGGCAACGCTTGGGTAAAAAGGTTGGGAACATTCAAAAGCACGGTAGGAAGGATGGGAAATGGAGAGGGGGGGGTCGCAATTGGAGGAAGGAATTTCGAGGAGGGATCAAATTTCGAATTTTGCTGGAATTTTTCCCCAACTGCAGGGCGTGCCTTGACTGCAACACAAAATCGAGAACAGATATCGGAAATGGTGAGTGCTAGAAAACGGCGGTAGTGTCCAAGAATTAAAAACGGCGGTAATGTCCAAGAATTACGGTAGAATCATGTAATACTATGTTATTTGTTAATTGGAGACTTACTTCGATAAAAGGTGGAAAAACTGGTGAAGACCAGCACAACGAGGCTTATTTCGTGAGCTATCGCGAATGGCCACAGTATCTCCAGACAACATGATAAATTCCAGATGAATATGCCCATAGGTCAATCGCAACCGTGACCTCATTTATCGGCATTAAATGGAACTAAAATAAATAAAATGGAGACAGATTCCGCAACCAGGAAAAGTGCGACTTCAATTAATGTTACAATTCCACAAAGAACTGGATTTGAGACAGGTGGCAGCGGTCACCGTTAATGTTCTATGTGGTGCGCGCTTTATAGCGAATGCTAGCCATTTCACATGGCCCGAGGTTCAGCTTTCGACCAGGCCTGAGCGTTTCATTCCTCTTGTACTCGTGAATTTTCGGTAAAACTGATGGGGGAGGATGAAACGTTGGCTAGTAAATTGGCTGGCCCCAGCAAGAAATTGTGAAGGCAAAATTCGCGATTTTGAATGGAAGAAGATGCGCAGTACACTCCATAAGAGGCAAATGTCTTCCATCCTCGTCATGCGGTGAGAGGGCGCCTACTCTACCAAAGGCCGCGTTCATAGCTTGCGACCATGAAGAAGATAGAGAATACCGAAACTGCAGAACGTCGCCGAAATCTGTCAGAAATGCAGAAGTAAGGGGATGCAGAAATGCCGGACAACTGCAGAAATGCCGAAACTGCGAAGAAAAACCCAAAAACAGGAAAAGCAACCCAACAAATAAACAGTGCTGCCCCAACCAGAAAAAAACTAAAACCGAACGCAAAAATACTAGCGCCACAAAAAAACACAACGGAAACCAACATTCACCAACGAAATAATCGCGCAATTCCCCAAAGCGAGAACGAAACAAAAAAAGAACACACTACAAGACAAGAAACGCGCCGTAAAAAAATGCATGAACAAAAAAACATCCGACGAACGGAATTCGCTACCAGCGCAAAAAAGCGGGACCAGCAAAATGCATAGAAAAACCCGGAAACAGAAAATCCACCCACAACAAAAAGGAAGCAAAACAGCGATAAGACCCAGTCGAGCATTCCGCGGACGACGCAGGAAGAAAAAGGTCACCGAAAAACGCGAAAAAGCACTAAAAAGAACAAAAAACGGAAAAAGGGGACAAATCCCGGTCAGAAGAAAAAGCAACTTACCGAGCAACCAAAAAAACGCTAAAAAACAAAAAAACAAGAGTCTAAACACAACAACGAAAAAAAAGCAAAAACAGAGGAAGAAAAAGAACAAAAAGTAGAAAAACAGGAAGGAAAAGCGCAGCTCAAAAAAAGCAAAAACGAGCAAAAAAAAAAAAAACAACTACAACAGCATGCCTCGCGCAACAACCCGCCGGAAGGCGGCAATAAAAAAAAAAGCACAAAAGAAAGAGTGGCGGGAATCTGCCGAGATGTGACCAAAAGCAACGAGACGTAATCGACCGCATGTTCTCAGTTCTGCAGATCGCGCACTTGCTCAGTTCGGCATTTCTGCATTTCTTCAGATCGATATGTATCTATTGCTTTTCGTCATTTCTGCAGATTCAGCACTTTCCGCACTTCTGCAGTTTCCGCATTTCTGCATTTCTAATGGCCGCCAGCCTATGAACCGGTAAACCACAACCCGATTACAAAATTCTAGCCATTCTGAGTAGCAGTTGCTTGCCAGATTCCCACTAAAGGCACCTTACGCGGTAACTAAATTAAAGACAGTTTTGAGTCCAAGCAGAAGTAACAATGGTCCAGAATATGCAAACATGTCGGAATTCTTAGTTCAATAGAGGTTGTCTTGCACGATCTTCATTGCGCCTTACGTTATTACTTGCCGCGTAAGTAAGAGTACATCTCCTAAGAAGACAAAAGTTCCATCTTACTTTGACCGCTCCATGCTCTACTTTTATACTAACTTCTATGGTTTTATAATACATGTTAGACAAATATGTGAAATCACTAACCTTCAATGTGAGCGGATACGGTATATCATTATTGAACAACTGGGCCAGAACTTTACAAGACTGGAATCGTATTCGACTGAAGAACGACAACGACTGCAGTGGATCACTAGTCGTGACCAAGTAGTGTACAAGTTCCGTTAGATCTGATTTCGCGTTGAACCTTAATTTTCATGCTTTACAGCATTACACAAACAATATGTCAACTGAATGAAACACATATATTTCACTGAATAAAAAAAACATTTTGCGGAGGTAATTATCAAAGATGACAGTTGGTGAAAAATCCCTGAATTCAGACTATTCAAACTGAATAGGTCACTGCCCAACCCCGCCACAAAGAAAGCAGGATGTGGGTAGATTATCTAGCTATCGAAAAGGCACACATCTCCTACAAACCGTTAGGGCAGCTTCTAAGAAGTGAGCTTCGTCGCTCTTCCGAATCTCGTATTTTCGAGCGGAATGAAGCTTTAAAGTTACATCCCGTCACTTCCCCCCTTCCAGTGCTTTCCTTAATCAGCTACAAAATCGCTCCGTAATTGGCTCGGGGGAATAGAAGAGGTCGTGTTTGAGGAGAAAAAATACTGATAGTTGATTTTTCCTGTTCCACGAGCATTATTCACATCAATGGGGAGATTCCAAAAGCGAGGAGTCGTAGTCGCTCGTCTTGAGAATTTAAAATTAAGAAAGTTTTTACCATGCGCGAAAAAAATTCGGTTGAGTTTTCGCAATTTTTACCGTTTCACATGTGCTATTTTTTGGGAAACTGGCGAAAGTGGCACGAAGTTGGAAAGACCTAGGAAGATGGTAGATAGGAAAGGAAGGGGTTGTGTCCAAGGAATAAATTCGGGGTCTTTATTTTTCAAGAACTCCCGGCTACAGAAAGTGTCGCACTGACAAAACGCGCCTCCAAGTCACTTCTTATGCCGAAAAAAGTAAAAGAAACGTTGATTGTGCAACTTTCTATAAAACTTACTTGTCTTTCAAAATGGTTGCCATCATGCAATGCGCATTCCATCGAGTTGCTTGCTTTGGCAATCATAGATGGAAATCGGAAGTGTCTAAATAACCAAAGTGAAGTGACCAAATTGACATTTCTCAAGGACGACCTTTCTTAGAAAAAAGAGAAGAGTGGAAGAATTATGCATATGATCAGAAAAAACTCCGCACCTGCCCAAAGTTCAGATTAAATCGATCATTCGAAGCATTTCGCGGTCTGAAGGACACGATCAATTGCTGATCACGTTCCCGACCGTAGGCAATCACCAGCTTATGGAACGTGTAAGCTTGCACCTAAAGTTACTTCTCTGTAATATCAATACTTTCCACCGGATATGTGACAAGACAATCGTAATATGTCGTGCTAGTGAGCGTGGTGAGCGACGTCGCGCCAGACAGACGAGTTATCCTGCTTGTCCGTTTTGACATGAGTGTCAGAGCGATGAAAAAAGTCGATATCGCCCCTCATGAACTCTTTTCTACGCTTAAATTTAACGTTCCCCTACATCAACCGACAAACTGATGTATACTGAGAATTCGTGGCTCGTCGCCGCACGACACGCCGCGCGCGAGCACGCGACAAATTACGATTGTCCTGTCCGTCTCCAATTTCAATCGTAAGGAAAAACATAGAAATTATGGAATTAGGACCATTATATAGAGAAGGACAAGGACAAACTTTAAATACGAAAAGAACCTAAAAACTTACATTACAAAGTTTATTATAGTGCGCATCGTAAGCTTTAGCGAATCTGTTGACAGTATCGTAAATGTGAGAATATCTTGTGAGGCGCTCAATAATTGATGTCGCTATGGTATCAACGGGACCACCTACAGATATTCCGCTCTGTTCATGAACCCATACGCCCGTCTGAAATAAGTTGCATGAAATAACAGTAAAAAATGTAAAACTTAAAAGAATACTAGGCGCAGTTCGGCGACGGAAGGGAAGGGGCATTTTGCATTTTCGCTGCATAACTGTTATTCCGATATACAAGTCTACCCTGGTGAAGCCCGTGAAGTCTTGTGAAACTGGAGCCGAGCCACCATGGCAAAGCTTGTCAACTCTCGTGAAGCCATGAAAAGTTTGTAAGTGGCCCGCAACATCGACTGGAAGTGGCAAAAGCAAAAGCCCACCCCCCCCCTAACGTCGCCGAACTGTGCAGAATATTGTATTGAGTATTGCTGAAGTACTGAACTTGAAAAAACCCTACCTTTCTTCCCTTCTTATATGGACTGAGATCGCGCACAAGAGGAATATTCACCATGCAGCAGAGGATATTCACCATGCAGCACTCAAGGGGCCATATGACCCGTGCTCTGCTGTCCAATCCGCAGACAGCACCGAGCCATATTTCGTAGAAATGCTGCACATCGCACGTCAACGACAGCAGAGACACTGAAATCAATGCATGGGATGCAGTACTGAAGAGAAAAAAAGGCCACGCAGAAAAACCTAACTGAATCGAACCAACTCACTCAGTTATGTGCAAAATAAGGCCTCCAACGTGAGGTTCTTCCTCGACGCTACGATAACCTATCCGCTTCTTGTCCAGTTCTTCACAAACACGCATAAATGAAATTCGATCATCTACTGCAGGCTACAGCTGTGGTCAACTGCCTAACCATGGACGGCTCCACGCGACTATGCTGAAAAGAGGCAGTGACATGAATTATTCGAGAATTTCGACATGAAATTGTTCAATTTCAAGATAATGCGCCGCGTGCATTAATTTCAATGCGCTTCATTTTTGAGAGTCGGGGAAAACAGCAGGACAGAAGAATGCGCGTCAAAAAAGTGTAATATCGACCTAGCGACCTGGGAGTATAGGAAAATAGGAGACTGGTTGAATTGGGGAACGACGAAACAGACAGGAATTGATCGGACCTCCTCCTGGTTTTCCATTCATGAGATCTAGACAATTACTTCCTTTCGAATCGCATTTCTTATATTCTCTTAACATCCTAGTTTGCCAGATCGATACTTACAGTTTCCTTTGACGCGCATTCAGAATTCTTCGGAAAATGTTGCACTACAGGTACTTTGGAAAGAATTTCAAAGTAAGGTATGGTAAAGTGAGGCAAGCTCATATAAGATAAGGAAACGGAAAGAAGCATGTCTGATTTGCTGAACCAAACTAAAGGCAGCGTTTAGACTTCGTGCGCTACAGCGTGCCGTCGCGCGTCATCGGTAAACTCGCGACGACGTGCTGTAACGCGCGGCACTTGCAATAGCACTTCAATGCTATAGTCGCAAAGCTACCGCAGTCGGGAATCGATCGGTACCTGCCACCGTGTTTTGAGAGAATATAAGGAAATAGGAGGATACAAGCTGCCCAATTACACAGTTTGATATCGACGGTACGTTTACGCGCTTTTCGCGCGTCCAAGAGCGTCATCGTGAATTCTGACCGCTGCCTAACGCGAACACTCCCGAACGTCACTAGGATAGGAAAGCAGTGATTAAAGGCAGTTGGCACGATAAATCCCCCAAGACGACTAGGATCAATACTCCTGGCAGGATAGAATTCCGCGACCCTGGGCAGGCGCTGCATAGCGGTTTCCCCGAGGAAGGTGCCCTTATAAGGGCCCTATCAAGCCACAACTTTACGTCCCAAACGCCCGCCACGCCCGCCCGCCCACAAATGGACGACCGTTCCTGACGCTCGTATTCATTCATTTGCTAAGCAAATTATGAAGCGAAGGGATTGGTATGAAGCGGCCGTGATGCTGCATATATGGGTACACATATGCAGCCGTATCTTCGGTAGCGGTGATTGGCAAGATGCCTACGGGAAACTCGTCCGAAATCGATTTTCAAGTCACTGAGAACGGAGGCTTTTTCTTCGCAGGATTTCACTATACAGCGCCCCACTAGCATTTTAGGCTAAGTAGGAAACCATCGTGTCAACTGCCTTTAAAGCTCAATCTAATTCGTTCCGGCCCATATGCACTGCAGCTATGAGATATCAGTTTTCCCGAGCACACCTTTGAAAGCATCGAAATAAATAAATAAGTGAATAAAACGGATGAGAAAATAATTACAAATCCTAAGGGTAGTGAAGAATCAGAATCAAACCTTTTCCTTCAAAGTCCACACGTCATCATATTCAGATTGTCCAAATGCCTTGGCTTCAATGTCCACCACTCCCTCGATC